TAGTCCACCACTTTTTGCAAGCGAAACCCTCGTGCATGGGTTTGTCACCTACTGCTTAAATGCACTTCTCACCAGTCTCCCAGCTCCACTATTCAAAAGATCCAGCTCATTCAAACCTCTGCCGCCCGCATACTGACGTGGACCAAACTCACCAGTTCTGGCCAGGCTCCACTGGCTCCCCCGTTACCAAAGGGATCGACTTCAAGATCCTCACACTTGTGTTCAAATCCCTTCACTCTCTGGCACCTCCCTACCTCTCCGACCTCCTTATTCCCCAATCCACCACCCGGTGCCTCCACTCGACTGGCACCGGCCTCCTTCATCCCTCACACCCTTCGCCCCACCATCAGAGGTCACACTTTCAGCCACTAAGCCTCAAAACTCTGGAATGCTTTCCCTCAGTCCCTCCACCTTGCCCCCTCTCTCCCCTATTTAACGGCCCGCCTGAAAACCGTCCTCTTCGACCGTGCTTACGACCACCTCCCCACTCCAGGCTCGTAGTCAGGCTCCGCCATTATTAAGCGCTCTGAGACGCTGCCAGTAGTGGAGGGGGCTATATAAGTGCAAGTTGTTGTTGTTGCCGTGTGCAATTGGCTGCCGCAACTCGCTCACAAAATTCACTTTACAGTATGTTCTGTGAAGCGCTTTGTGACATCTCGAAAACATGATAAAGCGCGATATCAAATGCAACAATCATTATTTATTTGTAGGCAAACACATCCGCCAATTTGCACACAGTATTGTCCAGCAAACAGCCTTGATCAATTTTATTTGGGGATAGTTGGCCAGGACACTGACAGAAACCAACTTCTCTTTCCAAATAGTGCTATGGGATAATTAACATCTACCTTAATAGGCAAACTAGACCTTGGTTTAATGGCTCATTCAAAGGATGGCACCTCACCAAGTACTTTATTAGTGATTGTGCAGCTCAGAGGGACTCGCCCACAATGCTTGGCTCTCTTGCTCTGATGATAATGTTGGATGTCACCGAATATCATGTCGGCAATGACAAACCATATCCCTTCTCAAGCTGTTTGATATCGCTCCATCTGTAAACCCCAGATTATATCTGAACTGCTGGATTTTATTATCTTCAATGATTCCTGCTTCAGACAAGCACAGAAATCAAACAGAATCTATGATTAAAATGATTAATGTTATTAATCTTCTCAAATGCACCAAGCGAAAGTGCTACAATCAAATGCTCACTGAAAACACATGTCCCTAAAGCTTGGGCCAGTTCCTATTTCTATTTTCATCAATCCTACATCCCAGATCAGTGCAGTATCAGCAAACTGTCTCCTAAAACTCTTAACATTAGCTGGTATTACAATGTATTTCGTAGGCGATTGCCACATTCGATTTGCGCTCATGTGGATTACAAACATTGTACACACAAAGTTCTGTGTTAAGCACTTTGAGAAGCCTCTCGATGTGAATGAAAATTGTATTGTATTATATTAATATTGTTCATTCATTCATTCTTCAGGTCCAGCTTCAATAGCATTGATGCCTCTGAACTCTATTTTCTATTTCATCACCGCTTGTTTTTTTAAAAATAATCTCTCCAGCTTTTGCCTCTCTATACCATAGACCTGCTGTGGCGAGGCGTATAATGGTTGGAGATCTATCTTCCAAATAGCACTGTTGATATTGAAATTGAATAGATATGAACCTACACCTGAACTTAAAACCCCACTCACTACCAACCTTCACTCTTTGGATTAAAGGTCATTCTGCTGAACCGTGGAAACATTGGATGGATTCCACCTGTTTCAGTGAATCAGGGGATGTGAATTCTCAGAATGTATTGAGATTATTTCATATCAGTGATAATGACGTAGAGTTACACAGAATGATATGCCATGGAAACAGGTCATTTGACCTGACCAATCCATGCCAGTGGTTATACTCCACACAACCCCCCACACATTCCCTTCTCCTATACCCCTTCTATTCCTAGCTCTCTCATGTATTGCATCAAGTTTTGTCTGAAACATGTTGGAATTTTTTGCTACAACCATAGCTTCTAGCGGTGAGTTTCACATTCTGATTACCCTCTGGTTAAGGACACTCCTAAAAATTCCCTATTAGATGTGCTTCTGGTTATCTTATATTTACGTCTTGTTGAGGACTCACTGACAAGGGGAAACATCCTATCAACATCCACCCTATCAAATCCTTTCATATTGCAACAATTCTATCAGGTCCCCTCTCAATCAACAACAGTAAGCATTTATATAGCGCCTTTTACGCAGGATAGCATGTTGAAGCTCTGTTTCAACTCCAGAGAGAAAAACTGCACGCTGTCCATATCTCTCATGATATCTATATCCACTCAACTTTCAAGTACTTTGAGACGTCCTCCCTATGTGAAAGGTGCTGTATAAATATAAATTGTATTGTATCCTTTTAAATCTACACTGTACGCTCTGTGGAGGAAAGCCAGAAGAAGGCTGATTATGACAAGTTGATGATTCAGAGGCACTTCCCTCGCAATCCAACTCGCCAAAACACTGCTCTGTGACCCGGCACATCCTGGAATGCAGTTCACTGTCTGGGATCCTTACAAACTGCACATCATTAAACCAAATTCCCTTCTGAAATCTTGTTGTGGGTTCATCTTTCAGGGCTCTCAGTGGTGTTCCCCCAGGAAATATCTACCATCTACAAGTGGCTTGGCGTTCAGCCTGAATTTCATTTCAGAGCAACAACCTGATTCCTTCTTAGACTTAAAAAAAAATTGTCAATTGGCTTGTGATTTCTTTATGCTAATAGCTTACCAAGCAGAGCAGTTGCCAACTCTGAGTGGGTCAAGTCTGTTGACTGCAAGGATTATTATTATTATTTGAAGTTCAACTCCAGTCTGTGACAGTGAGCCAAACGGTTTCAGTAATACCTCTCTTTCACATTGCATTCTCTCTTAAACACAATACAAATTTACGTTTATATAGCAACTTTCACGTCAGGAGGACATCCCAAGTGTTTGCACCTGAGTTGGGGAGAGGGGTGCGGGCTGAGTGGGTGGGGGACAAAGGGGTGATGAGCGAAAAAGATGACCGCGGTCAAAGAGGAAGGTCGTTTCGTGAAGATGCATCCTTATTTTTAAGTTATCTTCTTTTCACTCTTTCCCTTGGACTCCATATAAATGCAACCTGCTGTTGTCCACAGTTATGGCTGACCCTTTCCTAGGCCTCCAGCAGTAGTTCTCTGAGAAGATGCCGGAGACCAGACCAGCTGTTAAAGACCAGTCCAGTTTCTGCCTCACCACCATGTGAAAGCAAAATAGCCAAGCTTCACTCGGCATCTCTCCACATCAACCCCTGCAACGGAGAGCTCTCCCTGTCCAACATTCTCTTTTAAATTCACTGATCAGAAGATTCTGCCAAGCTGCTGTGAAACCAGTCAACATCTTAAGATGTACAGAATCATGTACATACAAAGTACGCTTGGCACCTTTCTGTTTGTCTTGGTTAGATGGGTTCCTGAAGTATTTATTGCTTTAGTTTTCCTGAGAGAGGCTCCTGAGCTGATTCCATCATGCACAGTAAGAACACTAAGGGGTGAAATTTGCCATGTTTTGTTGGGCAACTATCACATTGAATGCAATAAACAAGTTCCACAAATTTCGAGCCATTCCTGAAGTATTGCTGGGGACTAATCACCCCTGCACCTTCCAGAGAATTGTTTCTCCCAACTGCTCATAATAATAATAATAATCCTTGCATTTGATATAGCTCCTTATCACATCGAGACGTCTCAAAGCGCTTCACAGCATATAATGTAAAGTAGATTGACTGTATTTTGTGGGCAAAATCACCTTGAATGAGGTTCAGAGGGTGAAAAACGGGACCTCAGATATGATAATTAGCATTTAGGTGTCAGCCTGGCTCAGTTGGCAGGAATCTTACTTATTGTTCAAAAGTTTGTGGGATCAAGCCCCACATAAAGACAGCTCACAGTCTAGGCTGCCACTGTAATACAGTGCTCGTTGTTATAGCCACTGGTTATATATATTCTATATCAAAAGAAGGATTATTTATTCAATTATTTAAACCAATTTCTGTTACCAGTATTTACAGCTCTTCAGGATACAGATGGTGAGAAGATTGGCAGTGCAGCTGCTTTCACTGAATCATTTCATCGACGCAATCTCCTTGCTGAACGCGGAGTCAGAGTCAGGCTCCGCCACTGTTAAGCGCTCTGAGACACTACCCTGCGTGGAGGGCGGTTATATAAGTGCAAGTTGTAGTTATTGTTGTTGTTATTGAACTGACACTTTGATGCCATCATTTTTTATATAAAATCAAGGCATTTCAATTCTCCAGTCCATCTCCTATTCAGTGGTTCAAAGTTAATCTATTTTGGGGCTTGCATCCCAGTAAATGGCAATGTTGATCTATAGCCAGTTTTAAAATCCTTTTCAAAATGTTTAACTTCCCATCATCATGGCACTAACAGCAGTACATCTGGGACAGATTCTAAGAGCAGTGCAATTTTGCCCCTTGCTGTACAGTAATAGGAAATCTGTGTTCATCACGCCAAACCTTCAGCTCTCAAGTGCATTGAGCAGAGCGATGCAGTGCATTGGCCCTGAAATATGTGATGGTTACTGTACACAACATGCATGAACCCGGCCTCAGGACCTGCAGAATGTGACATGAAGTGGCGTGACTTGAGGCTTCACAGCAATGACGTGAACCGTTCTCCATCAGCTGACATTACTGTACACCACTCTGTGCAAATAAGTCCTGTGTCCATTGTGAAAATGTTGAAACGTGTGAATACCCAACAAAATCCCATAATATGCAAAACACAACAGCATCCTACAGTGCCCTTCACACAGGATAGAGTCTTGAAGTGCTATCTGATGTTGCATCTCACATGTGAGTTACATGACCACACCTGATACCTTTGGTATTTGGTAACAGTTTGCATATATCCAGAGCCATTGGCTGTTCAGTAATGGAATGGTTTTGTTGCCAGATGTTACGTACCTCAAGTAAAAGCTGGCCTGCTGAGGTTCGGTTCTCAGCCATAAGGGTGGGCTCATTGACTCCCATATCATTTTTGGTGAGTTGGTGGCTTTCCTTCCGTGACTCCTTCTCCCCAAAGGCTGTAATACAAACAGAAAATCAAGAGTCAACTCCCCTGGATATCACAGTACAGGTGTATTAACAGTAGGAACTAGCAAATAAAGCATGTATGATAATAACAATCATCATTGCATTTGATATAGTGCCTTATCATGTCATCTGAAATGTTGGGGACTGTTTACCAGGACAATTGGAGAAACTTCCTTTTCTTTTCCAATAGTCATCGGATCATTTACATTCACTTGGATATGCAGACAAGACCTCAGTTTGATGTCTCATCCAAAGGGTGGCACTCCTGATGATGCAGTGATCCCTCAGTACTGCATCGGAGTGTCAGCTCGGATCATATGGGCTCCAAGTCCCGATGTGGGGCTTGAACCTACAACTTTCTAACTGAGAGGTGAGAGTGCTACCAACTGAGCCAGCCTGACTGACAGAGCTAGGCTGATATATTTATCCCGCTATTGATGAATTAATAATAGTTCTTGCATTTGATTTTGTGTCTATCATATTGAAATGTCTCATGGTACTTCAACGGAGAATTTTTGAAAAGTGTAATAACTGTATATTTGTACACGAGTGTGGCAGTGATTTTGCAAAGGCAAACACCCATGAAATGGATGATCAATTTTATGTGATGGATTGTTGTAATAAAGGAGTTCCATACAGATAGTGCGATAACCCATTGAATTAGTGAACCTTGTAGACTGAATTGGACATTCAGTCCATTGGGTTTGATAAACTGCAACAACTGGATAAAAGGAGACATTTTATTTGCCCTGGTGGGAGGGGACAACATTTCTTTCAGTGGGTTGAAAGAATGGCAAAACTTGGTTACAATCAGTTTGCCTGATAGGGCATAGGCCAAAAGGTGAAACGTAATATGGCCCGAGTAAGCAGGCTTCAGTAAACTCCGGGCATAGTCCTGTTCAGCTTGTGGGTTGACACTGCATGTATGAAGAGTTCAGCAGTTCAGGATTTTAATGTGCTAGTAAAGGTTAGGGAAACCAGTGTAACCGGTTTAGAAACTGAACTAATTTTCTACAAACCAGCAATGAAATGTTGGAATCAAAGCACTCAGAGCACGTTCAAGGGCATGGAGTGTTCCATGGCTCCACTAAGGTCTTTGGTTGCAACCATTTGAACAAAGTGTGGATGTGTGTGTGTGTGTGTGAGAGAGAGAGGGAGAAAGAGAGAGAGAGAGAGAGGAGAGGTTTATATTCCCAATCATCAACTTGGCCATCACCAGCAATGGAATTCTGACATTGTCCTGCTGATCACCAGGGAGAATTTTGACAGCGAATGTCACATTTTTCCACTAGATGATAAGACCAGTTTGATGCCAAGACAACAAATAACTTTCCTTGCTTAATCGGCATCACCTTCATGTAGAAGTAGGTGCAAATCTACATTGCTTTTTGATCGGAGAGGAAGACCAACCCCACACTCACTATATCCGCGACATGTACGCATGATGTGACGATAGCGCACTGAAGCAATTTACTCAATTTACCCAGTGCCTTGGGATGTCCTCCCAAAGTGAAAGGTGCTATATGAACGCAATTTGTTGTTGTTGTTACGTTTCAGGATAATGATTGAACCAAATGATATCCTGTAAAGCAGGATCTGAAAAGTCTCTCTTTAAAAATAGCGGTGAGGATGGACAAGCCTGCACTCAGCTCTACTCAGCAGAAATCCAGGACGGGCACTTTCATTCGCTTTTGAGTGGTAACGTAATTCAGAAGTTGAGGGAGAGGGCACACTTCAGAACACATTTCAACAAGGTTCCTTTATTTAGGGACAAAATGAATCTGAGAATTTGACCCTAAGGAATGGATGTTTCTTGTTCGGATGGAATTTCCCATCACATAGCAGAAAAGGTGCATAAGTCCAAGTCTGTCAGTCAGTAGCAAGCTCACCTCTGGACACATAGGTTGTGAATTCAAGCTCCACAGCATCACTTGAGCTCATAGACTAGCCTGACACTCCAGTGCAGTACTGAGGGAGGCCTGCATTGTTGGATGAGATGATATCTTGGGCCCATTCCTATAGCTCAGGAAGACATTTAAAGATCTCCTGGACCTATTTTGAACAAGACTTCTCCCATCGTCCTGGCCGATTTCCTTTCTTAACTCAAATTCACCAAACAAAACATAAATCTTGTTGTGGTTTGTGGAATATGCCAGGTACAGATTACTTGCCCACATATACTTACATAACAATAGTCTCTACACCGCAATATAACTGAATATGTGAAGTACTTTTGACACTTTTCAATGTGACAAGTCACTCTGTCAAACACAAGTGTTATTTCTTAATTTATGTAACAAAAGGAGCTCCATACAAATAATGTGATAACATTAGAGGCAGACCACACAGCCAACATTGACCAGACTGCAGTTTAAATCCAAAGTAACTGAGGCCATACTCTGCTGAGCGTTGGTACCCTTTCCCTCTCTGTGCAAACACAGGCTTTCAGCAATGAACCATTCTTTTGACAGACACACAGCATCACAGGGTCAGCCCGCAGCAGTGCCTGCACGGCTCAGAATCAATTCACCGCAAAATCTGATGCCATTTGACCTGAGATTCCTGTGCACAATGTTCGTGGTTTTCATTTTTTTTAAGGTAAAAGACGCCTGCCTTACAGTTGCATTCCCATTTCCAACGCAATGTCAACGCAGGCCATGCTTCTTAAAGAATCAACTCCTCATTCCTCAGCATGTGAGACATGCCAGTGACAGTGTACATCCTGCTTGAATCCTGAGAATTCCGAGTCGTGCCCTGAGGCTTGCACAGTAGAACGCTGCACGCGTCTTCAGACATTGTGGGAAATGTACAAACGAGGCTATAAAAAGCATTCAAGCCAAGGCCAGGGTACTGCCAACAATTGACGTTTCCTCCCATCCTTGTAATAGATTAATTAAATGAACCAAGCAAAAATTGGGAGAATACCTGCTCTTTATTGCTGGCTTCAATCGATCCAAGCAAAATTACACTTAGATAGTTTTGACACATCAGTTTGTTTTGATAAATGATAATAATCCTTGCATTTGGTACAGCGTCTTATCATATTGTCGAGACACCTCAAAGCACTTCACAGGATTTTTCTGTGAAGTGTAGCGACTGTCTATTCTTAGGCGAATGTGGCTGCCAATTTGCGCATCGAAATGACCCACAAACACTCATGAAGTGAATAATCAATTTTTATCTGGAGGATTCTTGGTCAGAGAAATTCATTTCATGTTTCAAATAGGTTTCATGGGATCTTTAACGTTTACCTGAACAGGAAGGCAGAACCTCAGTTTAACACATCATCTGAAAGACCACACCTCCAACAATACAGCACACTCCCAACACTGCACTGGAGTGTCAGCCTAGACTGAGTTCAAAGGCCCAATGTAGGGTTTGAATACATAAGCTTCTAGCTCCGAGTTGAGAGTGCTACCAATTGAGTCAGCCTGACACATGTGTATTTTACTGACATTTTACTCCAAAGTTTGTCTATGAAGCAAACAGTCACAACACTTTCCTGTGAAGCGCATTGAGACATCCTTCCAACATGAAAGGAGTTATATAAAATGTAAGGATTATTATTATTAAAATACAAGTCAGCGGGATTTTTTCTTCAGGGTATGAAGAGAAGCTTTCTGTGGCAGAGATGCCATTTTTCTAGGTATTACCAGGGTTTATTTTCATTTAGCTTTTTAAAAATTGCTGTAGTGCATTTTTACTCATCAAGACATTGCAATATATAACAATAAGAACTTGTATTTATATAGTGCCCCTCACACAAGCTAGCATTCAAGAGCGCTCTATAGTTGGAGCCCCATTCACCAAGAGTAGAACCATCGATGAGCATGGCTACTGTTTCCTTATTCTTGAGGCAGGAAGAAGGAGGAATGCAGAGTCTCTCCAAGGACGGGATTACTTCAGGGTGACACCCTCGGGGAAGGGCTAGAGGAACAGAGTGATGTCTCCATCCATTGTGACATCCTCACTGTGTGATCTGATGCCCCAGCCATGGAAATTGAGGGAACTATTGATGATTGACCAGCCTGCTTCATCAGTGAGCTTGGAGGGATGGGCATTCCATTGGGGGAAACAAGATTTCCCCCCTCTCACCTTCTAATACCTCTTTAAATCAACATCCTAATGGGTAGGATGGTACCAGCTGAAAACCCACATGCTAAGTAACTCATGCACTGGATTCAGTGACTTTCTGACATTTAGCACATTGATTGGGAATTTGGTTTGCTGGAGCCGTTCCCCCTCTGACACTCTCCTCAATCTCCTTGTCCAAGATGCAGACCATGTCATACAAGTGAATGAGATACTTACTTAACTGAGTGGGATACTGTTTACAATCAAACAAAGTAAAGATGGCATCATGCTAGGTGACACTCCAATGTTATATGAAATAATAATAATAATAATCCTTGCATTTGATATAGCGTTTTCACGTCTTCTCGACGTCTCAAAGCGCTTCACAGAATATGCTGTAAAGTGAATTGACTATATATTTGTGGGCGAAAGTCAAATGCTTGGGCCAGCCGGCTTCATGGATATGACTACCAAGAAAGATGTCGAGGGGGGAGGGAGAAAAATGCTATCACCACACTGGGCAAGAATGGGAGCAGGCTTGGCAATCATGCCCTCCACATTCAAACTGCTGACACTCTCTAGGTTCATCCATGAAGAATGGCCACTCAGGTGAGGAGACTGACAACCATACCTCAGTCTAATTTATAGAAGGGAGTTTCTCCCAATGTCCTGGCCAACCGGCCCTCGGATAAAATTGGTCACTCACTTCATGGCTGTTTGTGAAGGGCACTGTATAGATGCAAGTTGTTGTTGCTGAGTGGTGTTTTGAAAACACACTCGGCAGACAGTCCATAATAATAATAATCTTTGCATTTGGTATAGGGCCTTTCATGTCAGGAAGATGTCCCAAGTACTTCATAGGATTTACTGTAAAGTGCAGTAACTGTGTGTTTGTAGTCAAACATGGCAGCCAATTGCACACTACAATGTCCTACAAACAAATGGCCAAATTAATTTGGGAATTATTGGCCAGGACACCAAAAGAAACTTCCTTCTCTTTTCGAATAGTACCATGGGATCTTTAACATCCACCTGAACAAGCAGACGGGACCTCGGTTTAATGTCTCAACTGAAGCATGACATCTCAATCAACGCAGCACTCCCCAAGCACTGGACTGGTGTCAGCTCAGACAATGCGAGTTCAACAACAACAACAACAGCAAGATTACATCTGTATAGCGCCTTTCATGTCGGGAGGATGTCCTAAGGCGCTGGACAGAGTACAGCATTTCAGACCCGAGCTGGGGTTGGGGGGGGAAAGGGAGGGGAAGGGGGGTGACCGATGGCATGGTCGAAGAGGAGGGTCTTGAGGCGGGACTTGAAGGAGGCTAAAGAGGGGGCAAGGCGGAGTGACTGGAAGGGCCTGAAGTGGACTTGAACCCACAACTTTCTGACTCAGAGGCTCAGATGTTACCAACTGAGCCAGGCTGACACGGTCTGACAAGTGATGGTCTGAGTAAAACACTGGCAGACAGTCTGCGAGTGACTGTCTGAGCCTTGCAACCTTGTTCGGACGGCGGGAGGACATCCCAGCGCCTGTGACCTTCCGACATGAAAGACTCTATATAAATGTCATTTGTTGTTAAGACACCCGGCAGACAGAATCAAGTGACAGTCTGATCACTTCTCGGCCTTTTGGCTAAGATCAAGTGTAATGCAGAGTAAGACACCGGCAGACTGGCTGACGACACTTGTTGCAAAGTTCTGGCAAACTCCCCACCTCCATCCCTCTCTTCTCTGTGTGCTTTTAAAAACAGGGAGCTCCAGACAGCAATCTAAGAATTCTGACAGGACCCCAGCACCACCACCGCCCCCCCCCCCTCCCCCCCCCCCCACATACACACATACAAATCCTCTTGTAATCTTTATATTTCTATGTCGTATATGTTTCAGAACGGCTGTTCAATGAAATTTTACCATCTAAACAACCATGAAAGGGTTAATAATTGGGTCAAGTTAATAATTGGGATGTGCAGCAGATAGTTGTGTAACAGGATATCTGTAGAGAGGCAGCTGAAAGGTTAAAACCTCCTCACGAGAAGGTCTTGTAATTTTGAAAGCCCAGATTTAGCGGTTCCTGAAATACCTCTTCCTCTTCGAAGCAACTTCGATGTTGGAACAGCACTTTGCCATTTGATGTGCTTTTTTTTCTGCACAGCATATTTCTGATGAAGAATGTCAAGACTTTTTTTTGCCTAATGTCCAGTTTATGCACTTTTGTGACTGGAGTAAGAAGCGGGAAAGAAAGAGAGAGAGAGAGAGAGAGAGAGAGAAAGAGAAAGAAGGAAAGTGTGCTCAACTTCTGTTGACTGTACATGGATTTGCAGGGTTTTATTTTCCCTCACGCTTTATTCTGGATCACCAGGATGCCATGTCTCAGGATTAATAACCTCTCACGCGTATCTAAACACACTCATCCCTGACAGCATTGCGTGCAGGCAGCACGGGAGATAGCTTCACTGGAGGCACATGGGCGGGAGTTGGGCATGGAGCCATCTCATCAGTATAACTCCGCCTGGCTACCTCCTCCGCTTTCCTCTCCCCCACCCTCCCCCTCCCCCAACCTAATACCAGTTAAAATCCATCCAACCAGATCACCGGAGGGAGGGAAGGCTTTTTTTGGAAGACAAACTGCTGTTTGACCAAAGCCCCACTGTCACGCAACGCAGCAGACTGTCAATCTCTTTCAGTCGCTGACAGGCTGCTGGCACACAGTCAAACCATTGCGTGCAAACGGGCAGGCCACATAACTCTATAAAGAATTTCATAATAACAACAGCTGTTAAATATTGATGACTGCTGGCAGGCAGTGAATGCTGTTCTGAAAGGTTAAGCCCGACTGTAATGGAACCTAATTCATTATTATT